GAGGCAATAGTTGCAGAGTTCAAATTTCTATTATTATTGCCAATGCAGGATCCGAAACAATTATGTGCATCCACCCAACGTGTAATCCTCCACATGTGATGATTTTTCTTCTTAATTGCACGGACATACCATGCACAACGTGGTGTATAGTGCATAGTAGTAGAGCTTTCTCCACCATCTCCTAGAGTCTTACACTTTGCTAACCATAAGCTGTTTTTACTTTCGTACACTTTAAACTCTCTATTTTGGGCAATCGACCAAAGTGTTACTACCTTTTTTACATGTGCCTTACTTTCAAATTGCATTCCTAACCTTATTTTGTTTTCTGATTCACTCCAAACATCTATATGAATGTTGTTTTCCAGATCAACTATGTCATCATCTCCTACATCTCCAATATCATTCATAAAATTCATTACTGGAGGTTCACTCACATCATCAGAATCATTCTCAATATTACACATTGACTCACTATCAGTATMTTCACTATATTGTGAGTTGGGTTCATCAAAACCAAAGTCATTATCTGCTTCAAATGTATTATCATTCGGCAAAGGAAGTGGTACATTCGAGGGATTGGTCTCAAAATTACGAAGAAGATCTAGAAAACTAGTACCTGTAGGCGGACYGCCTAGATTCATGATGATAAGTATATCAAAATGTAACTGCACAATAAATCATAAGATAAATTATATAAATATGATGCTATATATGATGTTTCATATCAATATATGCTAAGTATTTAGAAAATAATACATACCTTGGATGAATGAAGGAAAGAATGTTGAAATTTGATATTCTAATGATATAATAGTTGAAGAAGGATGAATGGAAAGTGCATAATCAAACAAATTTATAACACAAAAAAGTAACTGATTGGCAACTCATTTATTCACTTTTTTTGAGTTTTCATAAATAGTGACAATGTTCAGGAATCAATTCCTTTTCACTTTTTTTGAGTTTTCATAAATAGTGACAATGTTCAGGAATCAGAATCAATTGTATGACAATTGTACATGTTCAGGAATCAATTCCTCTTCACTTTTTTTGAGTTTTCATAAATAGTGACAATGTTCAGGAATCAGAATCAATTGTATAACAATTGTATAAATTTTTAATTTAATTATATAACCTGATAAAAATATACAAATTTTAACATATTAAAGGTTGGTATTAATTAATCTGAATGTATACAAGAGATCTATTTAATTATATAAATTGATAATAATACGTAAATTACGTAAATTTAAAAATAATACGTAAATTTTAACATATATATTTTAATTAAATAAATTAATACATAATATATAATAAGGGTTAAATATAAAATTTTAYAAAATAAAGGATATAAATAAAAATGAAAATGTAAGTTGRAGRGTAAAAATTGTAAATTTASAAAATCAGATTTTTTTAAATGAATGGGTCCCACATAAACTAACCTATTTCTACCAATAAAACTAAAATTAACCTATTTCTACAAACCTTTTTCAAAACCAACCCATTTTTGCAAAAAACTCGTTGAAGTCTGAAATCTTATTTCACTTATGATTTGTAGGTGATGCTGAAATTTAAAATCTGAATCAACAAGACTATTTGTTTTTATAAATTAATAAATGTCTGAATTTATTTAAATGATATATTTTACCTATTAAAAATTATAATATTAAATTTATAAATAAAATTTATACAATTTTATATATTTATTTATCTTAAAATTTACATTTAAATTATATAAAAGATTCACTTAAATAAAAATATGTCATTAACTATGTTTCATATTTAAATCATATTTAAATATTTGATTTAATACCATGGATTGAAGATTCAGGAATACGTTGTCCAGAACTTTTTTCTATGGGTCACTTATCTGTAAATGAGTTATTCTTTATTCTTTTTACCTCTTTATCAAACACATCCGTGGACCAAAAAACAAAAGTGAAACACAACGTTTGTTCCAAGATTAATGGAAAAACACCGGACATCACGTTCAACCTTATCGTTCTGAATCGTCTGCTTCCATTCGTCTCACTTGGGCTTGCCTCAATACCTCCCCTGTCGTTCCCAACGGGGTGTCGTCCACGTCCACCGCCGCCAGTATCCCTGCTCCCAACGGCGAGACGTCCTCCACTTCCACCACCGTCGTCGTCGCCGCCACATCACCACCTCTTCCACCTTGTTTCAAATTCATGGCCTCCATTCTCTTCCTCGCATCCTCTTCTGTTACTTCATCAAACGTTCCCTACCCGAAATAAATTATTCTTATTATTTCTATCATTTTACAAGATCACCTTCCCACAAATAATTAATTATAATAAATTATTAAGTTAAACCTATATACTACCAAAAGAGGAAAAAAACTGATCACATCCGACTAACCTTAGCAGCATCACCAGTTTCGGTCATTTTCTCTTTGGCCGCCTCCTCCTTCCCGGTAAATACGTCCATGGCTTTTCTTGCAGCATCGGCGGCGGCGTCCTTCAACTCTGTCATCTTCCCCACCGTTGTTTGCTTCCCTTCATTTGCCTTCTCCGCCGTGTAGTTCTTTGTGTCATAAGCTTTCTGTGCGGTGTAATCCTTGTATTCTCCCATCTTTCCCATCGTCGCATCCTTCGTGGCTGCCGCCTTGTCGACGGTGTAGTCCTTGGTGGCTGCCGCCTTTTGAGCGGTGTAATCCTTGTACTCACCAACTTTACCCATCGTCGCATCCTTGGCTTCTTTCGCCTTGTCGACGGTGTAGTCCTTGGCGGCCGCCGCCCTGTCGACGGTGTAGTCCTTGGCATCATATGCTTTTTGAGCAGCATAATCCTTGTACTCGCCCACTTTACTCAACGTCGCATCTTTAGCTTCTTTCGCCTTCTCCGCCGTGTAACCGACTGCCTCCTTGGTTTTCTCTATGGCATAGTCCTTGTATTCCCCCATCTTTCCCATTGTTGTGTCCTTGGCTTCTTTCGCCTTATCCGCCGTCACATCTGCCGCCTCCTTCTTTTTATGTGCGGTATAGTCCTTGTACTCTCCGCCCTTCTCCGCCGCCTCCCTCCCCTTCTCCGCCGCGTAATCCTTGTACTCTCCCGCCTTCCCCATTGTCGTGTCCTTCGCTTCGCTCGCCTTCTGTGCTACATAATCCTTGTACTCTCCCGCCTTCTCCATTGTTGTGTCCTTGGCTTCCTTCGCCTTCTGTGCTGCAGAGTCCTTGTACTCTCCGCCCTTGTCCACCACCTCCCGCCCCTTCTCCGCCGCATAATCTTTGTACTCTCCTGCCTTACCCACCGCAGCGTCCTTCCCTTCTTTCGCCTTCTCCGCCGCATAATCTTTGTACTCTCCTGCCTTACCCACCGCAGCGTCCTTCCCTTCTTTCGCCTTCTCAGCCGTAACACCGGCAGCCTCCTTTGTTCTCTGTGCTGCATAGTCCTTGTACCTTCCCGCCATCTCTTTCGTCTCCTCCGTATTCCGGACAGCCTCCTCGCCGGTCCACCTCGCTCTCTCAGCCGCTTCCCCGCTAAGCTCCGACGCCTTATTGGTTGTCTCATGAGCTTTTCCGGTGACAACATCCTTTGCATGACCTGGTGTACTTGTGACAGTCTGATCAACTCTGCCGCTAACAATGCCAGGTCGGCCTTCATTTGTTCTTATCTGCTCATCGCGTTCCACCACCACAACACCACCGTTTCCACCAACCTGTCCCTGACGATTGATGTCCCTCAGCTCATCAGCGGCGGCCCTTGCAGCCTTCTCCGCTGTCTGTTCCTTGATTCTAACATCTTGGTGCGAAGCCATTGGATTGTTTCAAGTTAAAAACAGTAAAATTCACACAAAATGGTGACGCAGATTAGAATTATTGATTGCTGGGTCGTATTTGGTTTTGATAGCAAAAACTGTGAGTTGTGATCGGATCGATCGCTAAGAAATTTATAGGAAGCGATCAATTTTTTTATTCTCTGCGATTGGATTTGCATTCTGCCGGTGGGGAGGAGATAGAGGTAAGATGATCACGATGATGTAAGCTGTAGTTGCTTGACACGTAGCATGGCCGTCGGACACGTGGCATCCATGCAGAGCAATATCGGGTGGCAACCACAATCACTTCAACGGGAAGAAATGCTATCGTTTATTCACACATATCCTCACAACCTTGACCATTTTCTTATGTTGAATGAATAATATGAAGAGGTGATTTAAACGGGATGTTGGGGATTACTTATTTTAAATAATTTATGTTTTTTTATAAAAATATTTATCAATTTATTATAAGTTAAAATAATTTAATTTTTTTATAACTTCTTATTACCAATTTAATATTGGTATAAACTGTTTATCCAAACATTTAAAATTGTTTATTATCGTTGTTACGTCGAAATAAGTAAATAAATCATTTTTATAAACAATCTCAAACATCTTAAGTCAAAAATATTATAAGACATAAAATTTAGAAATTTCATTCACAATTAGATTTTAAAATCTTGATTGATAAATTACATTTATTATATGGATTATTTATTGAAATCTCGATGTTTTAAAGGATTAATTTTTTAGAATACAATGGGTTACAGAATCATCATTCTTGTATATATTTTATACATAAATGTTACATATAAGTTAAGACATATATTTGATAAAAACTTTAAAAAATTATTTTTTATATATAAAATAATGTTTATTGATGTATATTACTTAAAATTCAAGAATATAAGTAGATTGTGCGTAATTATAACTTATTAAGTTTTATGTTTGAATTTATGTAATTAACTGCAGATACACATAATCAAATACATGATAAACATCTCATTTTAGTTATAAAAAATCTAAAATATAATTAGGATAATTATTGAGTTCTAACATAATACTTAATTATTATCTTTATAAAAAATTATATTATTATATCAAAGATAAATTGTTTCGTTATTAAACTTTAAAAAATATATTATTAAATCAAAAATTATATTATGTTATTTTTTCAAAATTTTAGGATATCTTCAATTTTACATTTTATTTAAAAATAAAATATTATCGCTTTCTTAAAACCACATGAAATCGTATTCTGACATCGATAGAGATAAGAATAAAACGAAACATTAACATCGATATGTATATCGTTGCATTGCACAAATACCTTTCTAGTATATATATATATATGTGTGTGTGTGTGTGTGTGTGTGTACATGTGGAGATTCAAACGATAACACATTTGTTTTATGAGAATGCGACAATATTTATGGACCTCCAAATTATTTAACCCATAAATTAAAATTAATAGAAAAATAAACTAATTAATTAAGGATAATCATGTAATTTCATATTTATCTGTAATTGTGATGACATCTTTATCTCAAGAATCAAATACATATAATATGTTAATCGGTATCAAATCATTATTACATTATTATCACAACAACATCACTTAATGAACAGAAGGAGCGATGAATGTAGATGTGATCATCGCTAGTTTCCGATTATCACATCGCTATCACAACAAAAATCACATAACTATTAAATGATTATCACATCAAAATCACATCATAAAACGTCTTCAGCTTATCAAATCATTATCAGATAATTATCACGGTATTATCACATTATTATCGACAACGGCCGCATCGACATAAAAAAGTTTTGATGATAATAACAAAATTTAAGAGATTAGAATAAATCTAGGATAACAGAAAATTATAGATAAATACTAATTAATTTTTATTTATTCTAATTTTCATTATAAGTTAATTAATTTTGAAGCCCAAAAGTGTTCTTCCATTTTCGTAAAATAAAAGTGTTTTCGTTTAAACTCTTCTCTATATATAAATATATATGGGTTATAAGCAATATTAAAAAAAAGTTCGTCGCAACAATCATCATGTGGTGTTGTACCTTAAGGCTTGTGTTTCACGTCATGTTAAGCATGTGGCACGCCATGACCTAATGCACAATTTTTGTAACATAATATTTGATTTTTGTTACTTTTTTAATATCTTATTTGTTAGTTTCTAATGTCTAATCTAATTTAAATTATTTAATATATTTAACTCATTTAGTAATAGTAGAAAATATATCTTTATATATATATATATATATATATATATATATATAAAATAATAATAATTTATATGATATAAATATTTGTCGTTATAAGTCACGTCTTAAAAAATATCACGGTTTCATCGTGACTCCTAAATATTTCCGCACCTTATTTTGTTTGGGCCCTGCTATACATGGTGTGGTGGAGTGAGTTTGAATTGGTTGATTTGNGTGGGGTGGGGTGGGGGGTTGTGAAATCGCAACCTACTTTTACAAATTTTCTTATTATAGTATTGTACTTTCAGTTTTTTTATTATAACAATATACTTTCAAATTAGTTTTTATCAGGGCATCGTACTTTCAAAAATTTACCTGTTATAGCATTGGGTAACCTTTTAAATTAAATTTACTCATTATACCAGATTTCTTTGTCACCTCGTCGTCCACATAGGCTGTTCACATGTACGATAATGCTAACATGACATTTCTTATTATAACATTGTATTTTCAATATTACTTTATTATAACACCGTCAATTCCTGTTACAACATTGTACTTCTAATTTTAATATTTTTATCATTTAAACATTGTAAATTTAACCAAATATGTTTAGTAAAAGTTATAATATCATAAATTAAACATGTTTACAGAAGATCACTATTTCATAAATAAAAATTATTCATAAAAAATCATTCGTTCATCGAGTTCATTGTAAATTTAATGACTTTCTTTGTAATGCCAAAAACTAAATAAGTGGAGCATCTTAAAAAAACATTCTATTCACATTCGTCTAACAATGATAAATGGAACCGCTTTGTCACAACTACTACTTTCTCTATTTTTCTCAACAATATTTTTCCGTAAGTTGTTCAAAGTTATTCTTTCACTTGGTCTCCTTTTTTTTTCGGGATGAGCTTTGGTCATGACTCCACTTGAGATGGTTCATGTTCAAATTAGTGAGCACATTAGTATGCAATTGATATATAAAATTAGTATGGAACTCGAAAATTAGTATGAAACTCGAAGATGAGGTGGCAAAGAAACCTGATAATATAATGAGTAAATTCAATTTAAAAGGTTATCCGATGTTATAACGGGTAAATTTTTGAAAGTACGATGCTCTAATAAAAATATTTTGAAAGTATATTGTTGTAATAAGAAAAACTGAAAGTATAAGGCTATAATAAGAAATTTTGTAAAAGTATGTTGTTATTTCTAGGGATGATAATTTGCCTCGACCAGGTGGGAACCCAGTTCACCCGACCCGAACAGAGAGGAGGATTCCCCGCTAAAACAGGTCCCGGGCCCGGGGATCCGCGGTAAACTCAAGCCGAAGCCAGGGCCGGGGATCCGCGGTAGACTCAAACCGAAGTCGGGGCCGGAGGATGTTATTCAAACCAGGGCCAGGATTTCTGATAGAATCAAAATAATTGATATTTTTCATGGGGTTTGACCAGAGATTGACCGGGTTTTGACCAGAGATTGATAGAGGTTTGACCGGAGATGAGATGTTAATCCCCGTACCCGCTGAGAACTGGTGCCGAGAGATGTTACTACAAACCGGGGCCAAGGATTACAAAACCCGCCCCATCCTCGCGCCCGTTGCCATGCCTAGTTATTTCGCTCATTTCTCCATGTGTAACAGATTATCCTATATGACTTTTAAGTTTGACACGTCAACAAAAAAACTTGTTCAAAAAATAACAGATTATCCAATACTATAATGGATAAAATTTTAAAAGTACGAAATCTTAATAGAAAATATTTTAAAAGTATATTGTGCTAATTAAAAAAAAATAGAAATTACAATGTTATTTCGCTAGTTTTAACTCCTTTTATGGGGGTAAGGCCACCCACATGGGGTTTGCAAACACAATTGCAAATCAACTTTTGTCAGAGTATGGATTGCCAAGTAGGAAAAACCTTGCAAAATTTGTAAGTGAATTTGAAAGCCACGTGGGCCACCCACTTTCCTCCAATTTTATTTTTCTTCTTTTAATTATTTAAATAAATTATTTTTATACAAAACAATTAATTTTATAAATTAATAATGTTAATATATTTTTAATTATATTAATTATATAATAAATTAAATTATTTTAAACATTAAATTTTATAATTACATAAAATTATAATCTAATATATAAAATTATATCATATATTAATCATTTTAATTAACATTGAATTAAAATAAAACATGTTTATTAATTAAAAAATAATTAGAATGTATATATAAATAATTTATAAAATAGTTAATAAATATTGTAGTGGGGATCACTTTTGAAAGTGTAGGTGACGTGATACAGTTGAAAATGTTGTAGGTGAATTGCAGATGTACGGAAGATAATTGCAAAAGCTGATGTGGCACGATTGAAAGTGTAAATGGATTACAGGATGCGGATGGTCTAACTCTCACCTAGGTCAAACTGCCAAATATACGGTCACTGCGTAATGTATCCCCTTTCAACTCCCTCTCCCTCACATCCTATGATCATTGGAGTTGACGTCGCTACTTTCTGGACTTTACGTACCTGATTTCGATCCATTTTCTGCTCGGAATCGCCATGGACGGACTTCGTAAACAACAGGTTTTTTATAATCGTGCAATTATCGAATTTCGTTACCATAAATTGAGATAATTTACTGTGTAGGTCTTGTTACTATGTATTTGTTTCAAACTAAGACCGATCATGCCTAATCATGAATTCATGTTTTTGTGTGACTTTGTAATCAGTATTTGTGTTTAATTGATGAATTAGTCGTTAGTTGATTGAATTACTTATTTTAGTTAAATTCTGACTGTTGTTTGGGTTGGATTGGTATCATGATGTTGTTTTTGGGTGACTCTGTATTAGCATTTGTGTTTAACTGGATTACTGATTTTTAATTAATTTCTGAATGTTGTTTGGTGTTGGATTTAGGTGTCGCTGCGGGGTGCGAGTGCGAAAGAGATCTCTAGGGATGCCTTACTTGAGAAGGTTACACAAGAGAGGGAATTTCGCAATTACATGCGGCGAGCTACCGCGGCTTCACTATTTATTCAGGTTTCTATACTTACATCTTTCCAAACCAAGCAGACACCTTTTTTTTTTAGGATTTACGTGTTACTTGACAACTTGAAATCAATTTGACTTCTTAACTTTTTTGAGAAGAAATTGATGACACTTCTACTTTACAACCAAGAATTGAACAATGAGCAAGAGAGTTCATGTCAATTTTGCCATGAAAGATACTGGGATTAACAATAGAAATCATAATGTCTCTATCTTTTGCTTGGGATGGAGGGAGTATTATGAGATGGGTATTTCATGACTTTGTTTGTACTTGGTGTGATAGTAAAGCCTGACTCTTACGTCTTTACTAATGGGTTATTAGAAGCATATCCTAAAACTGGTTGGTCAAAGAGGAAGTTCATAAATGGCTTTTTCAAATCATTGGTATGCTATGTGGGGGTGCTCACGATTCAGTCGGTTAATCTTTTGGAAACCATTGAGCTAACTACAGGCGAAAACAGAGTTACTAGGCAACTGAATGAACGTGTGACTCTTCTGGTCCAACTATATTGTGCATCTGATTGCAAGCAAGTGTTTGAGTTTCATGGTATGTTTCACTTCCATGAATAGAGAATGACTTGTCACATTTTCTGTAGAGGGTTTGGAGACGCTATATTTCAACAAAGGTGGTAGCTGTACATCTTCGAGAAGAGTGGCAAGAGATGCTCAGTTGTCATCCAGTTCCTATGAGCAGAGCTTGGATTTCCAGCAACCTATTGAGACCTTTTCTTTTCTTTGTTACAACTTTAGCAACTCGACGTCAGAGGTTTGATGATAGAGATGTAGATTGTATGCAGATTTGCTTCAGAATTCTTTTGGAGAGCATAAATTCTAATGGTATGCTTTTTCTGTCTTACATGTGAGAATCCTAGATACCTTTTAACTCACATTTGTGCCTATCAGATTTTATCTTTAATCCCTTTGGTGTTTTCCTTTCATCAATAGAAGTGAATGAATGACAATAAGGTAAAAACTAAAGTTAATGGGCTGTCAAAGTTTAGGACATTCCAAATGAATAAACTGTTTGCGATTTTGATGTTAGTATTTATCTTTTACTTCAGCAATTTCCTCTCTTTTAGAGAAGCGACATTGTAACACAGTTCGGTTTTGTTGGCTAATAGTAGTTAATTAGGGTTTATCTTTCTAGTAACATTTACATAGTTCCCTTAGATAGTATCCTAGTAGCAACATGTATACTTGTACATTTCTTGTCTGCTAAACCACATAGAATTCAATAACCTTTAGTGCAGGTTTTAATGTGTCAGTCACTGGAAATATTCAATTCTAGTTGGTCCTTCCATTTCCTAGGAGAAGTGTATGAATGCCAAAAAAGATGGGGAAAATGATGGACAGTCAGAATTTAGGGACATTCAGAATGAATGGCTGTTTTTTTTAATGTTTGTGACTTCTTTGGTAATGTTCTCTCAATATCCTTAAGAAGTGGCATTTGTCATCTACACACAATACAATTCTGTGTGAGGACATGTCTGCAAACTTTCATTTTCACACGTTTTACACGTTCTTATGCAAAACGGAAATTTAAGGTTTTTACACAAGTGTGAACTGGTTTTTTTAATTTTCTCTCACTATCTGTATACAACCTTAAACAAGTGTGAACTGATTTCTTAATTCTTTAATTTGAACTTTTTTCTTTTGAAGATGCACAGAGAAACTTTTGCACCCTTGCCACATGTGACATTGAAGAGCGAAGGACATGGACATATCAAGCAAAGAAGTTGATTTCCTTATGCGTGCTCATTCTTTCAGAATGTGATTACTCATATCATGAGGGACATCAATATGTTGTCCTTACATCTATGGCAATGCGGTTTGTTGTTAGCTTGACTGATCTAAAGGGTTGGAAAGCTCTTAACAATATCACTCTTCAAGAAGCAGATATGGCAGTGAAAGATCTAGTATGCTACATGTGCAGTGAGAAAAGTCAGCTTTACATTTCTATCAGAAGATACGTTAGTAGATTGGATATTCCTTTTCCTTCACAAATAAAAACTGCTGGCCATACAGATGACAGATTCTTGATTACTGCGAGCGCAATCACTTTGGCACTGCGACCCTTTAATAGTGGCAACATGAAAATGAATGAGGATGGGTTCCTAGATTTGCAGTTTGCTGCAGAGCAGTACTGTGTGCTTCTGCTAACAATCCCATGGTTTACTCAACGTCTGCCAGCAGTACTCTTATCTGCTATTAAGCACAAATCTATCTTATTGCCTTGCTTCAGGCAGATATTGGTAAGGCTTGTGGGAAAGCCTGTTAACTTGCATATGTTAGCATCTCTTTAAAAAACTTATATGTATGAGCAGTTGCTTAAATAGTATACCTAAGGTTACATGGTGCATGACGTCTTTGAACCAATATACCATCATAATTGATTGCTTTATGTACATTGCATTACATGTTTTCATCCGTACATGGAGTTAGATTTCTTAATGTACCATATTTAACTTCAGGCATGTACTGTGATAACATGACATTTGGTGAAGTCAGAAAACCCAAACTTGAGTGGACAACTGATGTATAATATGTTCGTTGGCCATTTGAAAAGGTGCTTTAAGTTCAATCTCGTTACCTTAATGTAAATTACAGAATGATTAACTATGATCACCATCAAAATAATATGATAAGATTTTAGCTAACTTCCTGTTACAACAAGAAGAATCTTTTTATCCCATATTAGTTGTGGTAGGCTAAAATATATGAAACAAAATATGAAAGTTCTTCTAGTATTTCATGAAATAGATAAATAGTTGTTTGGAGGAGACACTGAACTTTTGGTTCTTATTGGATTTAGTTAACCTTTCTCGTTCCAGATAAAGGCTTGGCAATGTTGTTGGGATTTAGTTTCACTGACAATGCCCCCAACCTTAAAAAAATGTAAGCTGGCAGGGAAATTATATTTGATTGCTAAAGTGATCTCCGACACATACGAAGACTTTACTTCGATATTGTGCAAAATGTGTCATGTAACTCTTTTTACTACAATTGATGGAATTCTCTTTCTAAGAAATATGGGATATTACTATGATTCTAACAAGTTTTATTTCCTCTATGTAAGTTCCTCACGTGCACATTCCTGCAATAGTAAGAAGTTGGAAGTTGAATCTGGTTCAATAAGCACTTCTACCAGTAAAATTAGATAGCACAGCATATATCCCAATTATATTTCTTAGACTTGTTCTTTTAACTCTTCCATGTTAGGTTCTCATTTGGAATCTTTTGAGCTAATCATCCATCAACCACACAAATTTTCTTCACTATATTGCATTACTGTATAGAGCATGAGGAACTGATCAACCTTTGGCAGGTGATGGCAGATATCAAAAGAGAAAATTTTAGAAGATATTTCAAAGTTGAATAATTTGGGACAAAGTTCAAGTCCAAAGATGTTGCCTCCTGTTGGTTGGGCACTTGCAAACGTTATTTGCCTTGCAGTAGGGGTTGACAGCAATTCGGAGGATTCTGGAAAATTCACTCAAGGCCTAGACTACGTATCCTACCTTCGTGTTGTTATCATTCTTGCCAAAGACTTATTAACTTGGTTTGAGGGTCTTGGATGGATCATAAAGGAGAACCAGGCAATTCAAGTTAATGGCGAGCCGTTGGTTGAATTAGTTGACCCAATTCCGCTTCAGGCCCAGAAATTCTCCAACATTTCTTATACAGATTTACTGAAGCCTGTTTGTCAACAATGGCATCTGATGAAGTTGTTGATCTTGGACAAGAGTTCATCCATTCAAAAAGCTGATAGTTCACTGCCAGAAGCTCCAGAGAAGTGTGAATTGACTGATGTTGCATATTTTTATTCTTATATGCTTAGGATATTTACCATCCTCAATCCAGTGGTCGGATCAATGCCTATCCTCAATATGCTCTCGTTTACCCCTGGATTTCTTTTGAATCTGTGGGCAGCACTTGAAAAGTCCTTCTTTGCTAAATTAGATTCTGCTCATGATGCTACCAACTTCTTCAATAGCAATATTACTGAAGACTCGAGGGATAGAATCTCCAAGAAAAAGAAAAAAGGGGTGGCTAAGAATGGAGGCACTAAGTGGGTTAATGTACTAAATAAGATCACTGGAAAGTCCCAAGGAGATATCGAGCAGATAGAGTCTGTTAATAGCCTTAGTACTCAAAGGACTGAGGACGACCCTTCTGACGTATGGGATATCGAGTCTTTGAGGAGGGGTCCTGAGGGTTTAACGACAGATTCCTCTCATCTAATTCATCTCTTCTGTGCTACCTATTCTCACCTGTTATTGGTTCTTGATGACATAGAGTTCTATGAGAAACAGGTAATGCCCCCTCCCGCCAAATATATACCACAGGTCCTTTATTTTCTACTTGGAAATAATCATTCTTTTTGGCAATTGGGTAGGTTCCCTTTACACTGGAGCAGCAGCGCAGAATCGCATCAATGCTGAATACGTTAGTTTATAATGCCCTGTCCCATAACGTTGCCTTGCAGAATCGTCCTCTTATGGATGCTGCTATTCGTTGCCTACATTTGTTGTATGAAAGGGATTGTAGACACCAATTTTGCCCCCCAGCTCTATGGCTTTCTCCAGCTAAAAAGAATCGTCCACCAATTGCTGTTGCTGCAAGAACTCATGAAGTTCTGTCAACTAATCTTGGATCTGATGATTCATTGGTCATCTCAAGCATGCACTCTGTTATCACAACGACCCCACATATTTTTCCGTTTGAAGAAAGGTAATTGCAAGTTGATGGGTCATTTGACCCCATTATTTCAGAATTTCATATAGTATGAAAAATGAAGATTAAACTCTGTATTCTCTGCTTGTGATGTGTTGTGCTTTTTGTTTCTTTTACTCTTATATATGCAAGTAACTCTAGTTTTTATACAACCGTGAGTCCTGAAAGTTAACCAGCTTAGACATTCTTAATTACTTGATGTAAAAAAATGGAGGTTGTGTAATGTAAAAAATATCAGCGCAGCCACATCATCTGCAATACCTTGATGCAAATGATTGTATTCTCTAGACTTTTGAGGCACAATCATTCAAATTATTTACTTACTGCTTCTGATTAAACAATATATATGATGATTCTTCTTACCTAAATCTTGGGAGGACTATATCAGTTGATGGAACATCTAGGGAATTGAAGATAGTCAGACTTCTTTGATGTGCTATTCTTAGACATAACAGCACTTGTCTGGAAACCTCCATGTCCCCACCTATCCACCCACACGCACTCCACCAAGGTGCCTAGGAGGATTCAGGACCTAAAATATTCACTTAAGCATCCAGAATTGAAAATTTTAGCTGATTAATTCAGCCAAGGGATTGTGAACCTCTTTGGTGCTGTCAATTAGAAGCTAGGGATTGACCTGAGTACCGTTTTAAGGCAGAATGCCTGCAGCCTGGCTGCTAATCATTTTGGCAAGGCTTCTGGTAGCTCATAACTGTTTTTCTGGTGATGCGGGCAGGGTATATTGACTTCATGGAAGATATGATACCTTGATGCTAATTAGGAAGGCAAGTTTGAAATGTCAATGTTGCCTTTCTTGGACACTTGAAACCCTTATAATGTATGAAGTGAACTATTGGTGACAGTTAAATACAAATAAGATAGTGAATCCTAATATTTGAAGCTGCATTTTGAAGGAGATTCACCTTAATGCAGAGTAAATAAAATGACCTGATTATTATTATTATTATTATTATTATTGTTTATTTTGGAAAAACCTTAATCTGTGCCATGGTAGAGTGCTATTCTACGACCGGATCATTGGTGTTGAATATTGACATCCTAAAGTTTTGGTATGCATATATCTGCACTTCTATTGATTCTTAGTAATCTTTTTTGACTTATGGAAGTTCTGTAAAAGAGATATATGCATATAGGAATAGGACAAGTAACATTACCTCCTTAGTCCCTAAGGTCCCTAATCTCTTGATGTGCCTTTGTGGAACATTTTTCTAGTTAAATTTACCTGGCCTTGTTGATAAGAAGCTGAGGTACTTAAGAAGATGATTCTTAGGTGTTTTATTGTCGTATGGTCATTTAAAATTCTTGTCTGGTTGATAGGTGTTCGCAAATATGAAGTTAAAGAGCTGGGAATTCTCTTGGACACATATTAGATACAAGCATATTTCATTGAAAGTCATTGTTCATATGAAGAGCTGCAATACATGTGACTATATCTGCTTATTGACTTGCTTCTTACAAAGCCAAATTATGTATTTCATGCTCTTGTCAAACTAGCCCACTAATCTCGTCAAGCTTTTTCTTGACAGAGTTCAGATGTTCAGAGAACTTATCAGCATGGACAAAGTATCGCGGAGAATGGCTGGTGAAATGATTGGACCTGGTCCACAAGCTGTTGAGGTAGTAATCCGCCGTAGTCATATTGTTGAAGATGGATTCCAGCAATTAAATCCCCTTGGATCGAGATTGAAGTCTAGCATCCATGTCTCATTTGTTAGTGAGTGTGGTCTCCCTGAGGCTGGGCTAGACTATGGTGGTTTATCAAAAGAGTTTCTAACTGACATAGCAAAAGCTGCCTTTGCCCCTGAGTAAGTTGAAGATAATTTCAATATCTCCCACTTTACACTGCTTTCTGACTTTCAAAGTATTAAATTTCATTCATCTTTGGATTTTGTTAGTTATGGACTATTCACCCAGACCTCAACTTCAGATAGACTTCTAGTTCCAAATTCAATGGCAAGATGTGTGGACAACGGCTTCCAGATGATAGAGTTTCTTGGAAGAGTTGTTGGCAAAGCACTTTATGAAGGAATATTACTAGATTATTCCTTCTCTCATGTTTTTGTACAAAAGCTGTTAGGACGCTATAGCTTTATTGATGAGCTATCAGCACTGGATCCAGAACTCTACAAAAATCTTATGTATGTTAAGGTAAGCGTTTACTAGAATTGGAAATCTAGGAGTAAAAGTCATTTTTCTTGAATAACCTCCAAGATTCGGAATGAGTTGCAATCTATTTTTCAAGTATTTGTTAAGTTTCAGTTTAGGGTCCAAGATTGCAAAAAAGAATGCACTATAAAACTTTGGTAGAAGATTCATGAAAAGGTTGAAAGAGAGAGAGAGAAAGTGACAGACATGGGCACGAGTCATGTCGATAGATCTGTTATGACTTGCATGTCTTATATTTTTCATAGTAAAAGTGCTGTGCTTCATTGCATATGCACCCACACAAAAGAAATTGTGATGCACTGCTAGCCATTTTGCTGCAGCATTATGATGGTGATGTCAAGGACCTCTCACTAGACTTCACAGTTACGGAAGAATTACCTGGAAAACGGCATGTTGTAGAACTTAAAGCTGGTGGCAAGGATGTTAATGTGACAAATGATAACAAGTTGCAATACATATATGCTATGGCAGACTATAAACTTAACCGACAGGTACATATATATTAAGTTGGCAATATGATCCCAAACTGTAAACTTGTGTTTAGTTGATTTGTATTCTTGGTGGCACAAATGGCAGGTACTGCCACTTTCAAATGCATTTTATAGAGGATTGACAGATCTTATATCCCCATCTTGGTTGAAGCTGTTTAACGCCAGTGAATTTAATCAGGTATTTATTCTTCTGGGGTGTACATCTGTGATTTATGCTTGTATATATTAGACTCCGCTTCATCTTAAATTGATTCATCTTATGCTTTTACGTAACTTACCATGTTTTCTTATCCTCAATTTAAGGTGAAGCTGGTTGGGCAGGCTATTCATTAACTAAAGTTTGAGTTATGCAATGATGATGCTCTATATGAATTACACAGGATCCTCTACTTGTATTAAGCTGCCACAGAAAAAGCCTTGACATGACATGACATTTACATTGCTTTTAGGAATTATAGTACTTGTTATCTCATACCTGTGCTCTATGCTGTTAATTGCGGCGCAATCTCGGATATCGGCCCTAAGCAGAATAATGGTGGTCAAATTGCGGTGTAAATAGCGGTAATGCAATTATTGGCGCAATTTACCTCAATTTTGACTGATATTTAGGGTCAAATTACGTTCTGCAATAGCGGTTATTTATTTTTGGGTTCTTTTTGGGCTTTATTTTGAGTCTTTGTTTTGGGCAGTTGGGTTTTTTAGATCTGGGCTATGTTTTAACTTTAATCCATTAACACAACAATTACTTTCTTTTTAATATCAACCCAAGTTGCAATTTAAGGAAGTCGTAGGTTTTTCTTTTCCAAGTTGGACAATCGACAGCCTCCTCCAGACGGACCAGACCTCCACTGCTCAGCTTCTGTTTTAGACGATCTCATCTTTTGCTAGTTTAGATGATGACGATCTCATCTTTTGCTTTACACGACCACGTCTCCACGATGATGTTGAACTTATTGCTTGAGATTAGCTCGTTTATTAACACTTTTCCTATTTTGTTTTGTGAAACTTGTTTAAGTTGATGGTTTGATGTTGAAACTATATGTTTATGTATGCATACATATATGTATATAATTATAAGAAATATTATATGAACCGCTATTTTTGGACCGCTATATCACCGCTATTTCAAATATTGGACCTGACCGCAATTTTGTATTTTCACCGCTATAACAGCATAGCCTGTTGCTATCAAGTCTATTTAATAATTAAAGCATTAAGAATGCACTTCTTTTGGTTTTAACACTTGTGGAAACGAAGTTCAGTCTTATAGATCTTAAAACGCAAGGAAACGATGAAGGGCTAATAGAAGAAAATTAAATGTTCCATGACAGAACAAGGAAGTTCAGTTAAGCCCAATGCTGATGAATATGAATAAAAATATACTTCCAAAATATATTTGAGAGGTTCCTGAATTTCTTCCCTGGGATTGGTAGGAGTAGAACTAAAGAGAGGGAGGCAATTGTGACCTCCCAGTTTGAGAAGTTCCTTTCCGTTTCAGTTTCCACTTTCACGGCATATGTACTTTTTGTGGGCATAATACTGATAGCTGATGTTTGTTTGAAGCTTCTTTCTGGTGGAAACCATGATATCGATGTTGATGATTTGAGGAATAATACAAGGTACACTGGTGGTTACACTGAAGGGAGCCGGACAGTTAAGCTCTTCTGGGAGGTATACAACGATATAGCTGCTGATTTTACCTAGTTTTTATGTATAGTTCTTCCAGTTTCTCTTTCATGGGAACCGGACAGTTAAGTTGTTCTGTTTGGAAGCATAATGAAGTCATCTTTTATGTTGTTTGCTTGCTTATTGGAGAATTCTTTTCTTTCGTTCAAACATCTGTTGCCCCATGAGTTATGGAGATCTATTTGAACGGTGGCAGATAGGGTTTTCCATCTTAAAAAACTTATTTTTATCAGTTATCCAGGGTAATTTAGTCTTAATTAGTTTCTTGTTCCTGAAGTCTGGGTTAAGTGGTTAACATTTCTATATGAATAAGGAAATTCCTGAATCTATTTTTATTGACTCCATGAACGGATCAGGTGTTGAGGAAATATGTTTTATATGTTGAGTGGATCGACTTTGGGTGTGAATCCATGAGTTCCTAATGTTAACTTCCAGTGTGAAGCTTTCTACACCTACTTTCAATCATGTCACCCTAAATTCTACCTTCTAACCTTTTCTTTGTCGTGCCTATATTACCTAGTTTATGAAACTAAATTTGAAATGTATCTATTCTTTCTGGGCAACATCCCTTCTGGCTTGACAGATTATTGTATCTGCTGTTCTTATTCATCTGCTACTCTAATTTTTAGAACATAATCCCTCTGGTTCATTCTGAACCCGACCGCCTAATACTTTTGATTTCTAAAATTATTATTCATTTGATATGTTTCTGTATGCATCCAAGTTGTCAATCTAGAAATGTGAAGCAAAGGGTGTGACAGTTGTAATAGACACGAGGAAGACAACTACAAAATCATTTAACCCAAACTGGTTGGGTTGGGCTGAAAATAGAACTCAATAGAAGCCATAAGATGTGAACCCCCTTTGGGATCTGGGAGATGGATGATACCACCCTTTTACATCTACCATAGCAAACTTCTTTGGTATTTCCACTCACTAAAACCTTTGGAACTTTTCTCCATATCAATATTGGCCTGCCTCTGCCTCTCCTATCCACTTTCTCTTTCTCCTAGCCTCCTCCTTTAACTAGTGCATCAGAATGTCTGTATTTGAGATAGCCATATCATCTCAAGTGTTATTTTTCTCGGATTCTTTTCATACATTAAAGAGCAGGAAAGGACCAAAATTGATGAATATGATCCCTGATGTACCTTACTTTCCTGCCTCTAGATCAAGCTTACCTTGGTTGTCGATGAATACTCATCCCATGAGAGGCCTTTTTATTTGTTTATGCTTGTTGATGAAACTTCTTCTGTAGGTTAATTAGTAGAGTTAATTTTGTTTGAGAAGTTTGACGCCTATGAGATCATCTTAATCTTAAGTTACACTTTACTTCCACACAAAAAATGTTCTTCACATCTATTTTGATATAATTGGTGGAGGAAATATACGTCAATCCTTAAGTTCTACTTGTTTCTACTCGTATCCTGCTGTGCCTTTTGTCGTGTTTGTTAATTTATATAATATCTGGCACTTTATATTTTTTCCACAAAAATGGAATAAAGCACAACTTTTAACACTATGCTTTTTCTCTCTCTCTCTCTAGATGCATAAGTACACATGCCTCCACTTGCTTTCCTTTTGACAGCTCCACATCGTAAAATTATTACGACTCTAAGACACACATGATCTCAGCAAATTCTTTCTCCTCCCATTTCCTTCTCTTCTAGCTTTATGCATGATAATGCATCCAAAACTGACATGCTTTACAAAGTCTAGGTCTAGAAAGACAAAAAAAAAAAAAAACCAGTCTCCTGAGTGTGTTTCCACCTACATCAGGCACCAAAGCAGCACGTGTCCATTAGAAAAAATTAGATGTTGGAAGGTCACATCTATCTAAACACAAACTGTTCCGTGCTCATATTTGGTGTCAAGATTCTTCCACCCCTCCTTCCTCCAACAATTTCTTAATTGAGTCTGTAGAGCTTGATATTATTTTGAGATCCTCCATTGTCCAAAGAATGCATCCATTTGTGTGCTTGTATACAGATTTTTTTATGAAAGTAGATGCCTGTTTTGTGAAATTAGTTTCAAGCTCTAATTCTTGGTACTTATTATAAAGCATGTTCACATGTAGTTATTATTGACTTTTTGTTGCTTACCCTGGGTCAGGTCATAAGAGAATTTGAGCCAAAAGAACGTTGTATGCTCATGAAGTTTGTGACAAGTTGTTCCCGAGCTCCATTGCTTGGCTTTAAACACCTGCAACCAAGTTTTACCATCCACAAGGTATCTTCTTTAAATTTCATGATCTATATATTGCCTCTATATTTCTGCATCAGGGTTGGTAATAAACCATTATCAATAAGAGAATGATCTAAAGGTAAAAAATGACTCAAGATTATCACAAAATAACCAAGTTGTTTATTTGACATAGAATTTATAGGAGTTAATATAGCATCTAGGGGGTGAATTATATACATTTTAAACCAAGGAGAAGAAAATAAAAATTAACTTGAAATTTAATGTATATAGGTTGCATGCGATTTACCTCTTTGGGCAACGTTCGGAGGACAAGATGTGGACCGTCTTCCGTCAGCTTCTACATGCTATAATACCCTTAAGGTACCCTGCTGCCATTGTTGCACAACTATTCTTTTTTAAGATTCTCAATAGTTGGTACTTGAGGTTGAGGGTTAGTTTCTGGTTTGTCATCAATTTAGACAAGTTAGTGGGCAATATATATCTTAACCTCTTTATAGGGAAAAATATTATCTAGACAAGTGAATAGATTGACCTTGAGACAACAACGATTTATTTCATTGTATGCAGCTCCCAACATACAAACGGTCAGGCACATTGAGAACAAAGCTGCTGTATGCCATCAATTCCAACGCGGGATTTGAACTTTCATAGATACTTGAGTAGTATGTGCTTAGGTAATCCCCTCTTAACTATGCACATTTATAATTATATACATTGTTTAGTTCATTGATGATGTGCTACTGTGTGCCCGTAGTGCATCAAGCCTCATTGTTCTAAAAGATCGAGATATCAAGTGGCAGAAACTAAAATTTTATTCTACAATCCTCTATGCGATCATGGGCTAGAACTAAAATATCAACTTTGCCGATGAAAAACATCCTTATTCAGCAAGCCGAGAAATGCATAGTTTGAGGTCATGCATGCTTAATGTGTACAAGGGAATATTTCCCATAACTTTTGACTTTCTTGCACGAGGCATTTATAGAGTATTAGTTCTCTTTCCATTCTTGACTTTGCATCATTTAGTAATTTTCCAAGCTTGTTCCAACGATTTTGGTCGGACAGAGAAAATGCATTTTTGTCCCACTCAGTCTGGTCCGGTCTTAGTTTGGTGCGACAAGTTTTTCTTCTGTCATGTTCTGTACTGTCCCGTGTACCAAGCACACCCTAAACTACTTGTGATTTGTGTTTTTCATTTAGGAGATTTATCAGGAACTAATGTCTCAATACCTTTTTGTTATCCATTTACAGAGTTATAAATATACACTGGGGGATGTGTTCTCAACCTTGCCAAATCTACTTTATATCCATAGCAGTAGTCAGAATATACGCCGACTACGGTCTCCTTGCTTTTTTCAAGTCATGGGAAGTTGTGTGAGAGGTGGAACGTGGTGCTGAAGTAAAGACGGTACAGACTGGTATTTCCCCTAACTGCAGCCTTGTGTTCCTGTAATTAAATGAGAACTGTATACTTTGTGCTATGATATATATTGTTTCTCATAATAATATGTTGTAGCCTTGTGTTCCTGTAATTAAATGAGAACTGTATACTTAGTGCTATGATATATATTGTTTCTCATAATAATATGTTGTATAGTGTAACTTTTACCAATGTTGGTAAAACACGTGAGTGTGTTTGATACGCGAGACAGGACGGGACAAAACAGAACAAAACATGTTGTCCCCATGTTTGACGCAACAATTAGAGTGGGACAAAAATCAGGGAGATGGACAAGATAAATAAATTACTAAACTACCCATGTTAAATTAAAACCTTCCACAATTCTTTCACCTGCCTATTTCACTCTTGCTAGTCCCGTCCAGTCTAGTCTGCGTACCAAACACATCTGTATTTTTCTAGGTTGTGATCTCAACAATAACAAGCTCAATACCTGTACAAAGCTCTGGAGGACCAGACATGGGTTGCCTAGTTTGGGTGAGGGTCTCTTCTGAAGTCATGATGTGAATTGCACCGAGCACATTAGGGTAATGTAATTATCAGTTTGTCAAATAACAACCACTCTACTCTTCAGGATAGAGGTTAGATTTGCATACATCTGATCTCCGACCCCACCTCCAGGTGGGACATGCTAGGTTTTGTTTGATTTATCAAACAACACCCCATGGTCAAAAACTTCCCACCCACCCCTTTTCCCAAACAACTGCAATTGTTCCAGAAAGTATAGGTTAATTGCATTGATGCTAATATAATGTTGGAATGAAAGGGTTTGTTTTAAAGACGAGGAAAAGAATCTCTGTTCAAGAAGATTTGCTTCTGGATTGCTCCAATTAGAATGGAGTAAATTTTGTTTGGTTTCTTACAGAATTGTGATAACGTTTTTGTTATTGTTTTTGTTACTAGTTACCGTTGTTTTTGTTCAGCAAATGAAATTTACGGTTAATCTGGTTTAGTTTGATATTAATGAGATAATGTGCAGTCCTGTTTTATTCAAGAAACTTTAAAACCTATTGGTGCAGTTTGGTATATGGTGTTACGTGTTTCCTCCAACCCAAATCCAAACATTCTTAGTAGCGTTTATTTCTTTAAAATTTGAAAGCAAAATCCAGTATTAAGGTATGCCAGCTGCACTTTCCTAAAGATCTTCTAGATTCATTCCAGACAACCAGAAGTGTACGCTTCGAAATATAATTGTATTTATGATGTCATGTAAAGGTCCATATGACCTCGTTTCAATAAAATTTTTGATCAATAATTGGATATTTAAATTATTTCTCGAATATATTAAAAACGTTTTATATCAAAAACTTATGGCCAATGGAAAACCAACAGTTTTAGTTTTGTTAGTTTATACAAAATAAATCAGAATTATTTCTAAACACAATTTTTGTTTGTCAACTGGTTCATTATAAAATAACTGTAAACCATTACAATCTTGGAGGTATTTTTTTTAATAATTCTTTAAAAAAATTTAGACTTATAAAATCTCTCTTGTTCTCGGTGACCATATCTCCTAGTCTTATTCACATCCATATGGTTTTGACGTTATTTGTGGACAAACGATTAGGATTATAAATACGGTCCACAAGAAAGCTCATAAAACAGTAAGACAATTACACACAGAAACAACACGTATTACCTAAAATTTACCTACCACTACAACAAGATGTTTTGGGTGGAAACATGAAGTCAAAATTCATTCGAGCTCTGGTCACTGCCTTCAACGCATTAGAAGCTGGAATGCTTCATTATCCGTTTCCATTTCATACTCGTATCCAAGATCGTTGGCACGCTCCCGGAACTCACAGTATTCGGTTGACGGAATTTGAATACCGACTAAAACATTTGCACCAGCTTCTCCCTGGAAACCAAGCATTATATTTTGACTGCTTGCCAAGACTAATTAAATTAAAAGGATATAAAACAGGAATAATAGAATTCAAACCTGTGCACGATAATGAAACAAACTAATATTCCAACGTGGACTCAGAGCGTGCAAGAATTTCATCAAAGTCCCTGGTCTTTCCGGAAATACAAACCGACAAAGAAGCTCGTTTTCAACGTTAGTTCGACCACCCATCTGCAAATCCACGCTAGTTTAGTCTTTTGGTGATTTAAGAAATCAGCAATTCAGTTTCATCATGTTACGAGTCTTGGTGGCCGTTTGGTTCGCGGAATTTGATGAAATTGAAATGACAAATTCCTTTGACCAAATTCCAATTCCTTTGTTTGGTTCACTTCTTGAAATGGACGGAATCCTTCAAGTTCCATTGAATTCCACAAATCAATGAATTTATCATTCCTTGGCATAATTGAAGGAATTGAATTTCATCATTTTGCATCCAATTTAACCAACACCAACCATCCCTCCCCTTCCCACGACCATGCTACTATTGTCACTGTCATGCCCACACCCCTACCGCCACCCACCCCCACCCTAACTCCCTACCCACCACTGACCACCATGCCACTACTGTTGTCGTCGCATTTGTCACTCCCACCTCATCACCCACCCACCCACACCAACCCCACCCTGCCACTATCGTCGTCATCACAGCTCCCACCCCCACCGACTACCATGCCACTATTGTCGTCGTCACAACTACTACCCCACCCCCACCTAACTGACCACCACACCACTATTGTCATTGTCAGTTGTCACAACTACCACCCAACCCCCACTGACCACTAGGCCACTACTATCATCGTCACAACTACCCTCTGCCACGTGGGTGGTAGGGTGTGGGGTCGGGGGCGATGGTGGGTGCAAGGCAGGAATTAGGTGGAGGTGTGGGGACCAGGGGTGGCAGAGGTTGGTGGTAGGACCGGGGGCGATGGTTGGTCAGGGGGCTGGGGTGCTGGCGGGTGGGTCCAGGTAGGACCTGGAAGGATGGAGATTCCAATTCTTTTAAGAGATTCCATTCCAATTCCTACAAATCAAACGCATGGTCAAATTCTATTACAATTGTTTCAAAGTCAAATTCTTTTGATGGATTCCGATTCCACCAAATTCCATTACAATTGTTTCAAAGTCAGATTCCTTTGATGGATTCCGATTCCACCAAATTCCATTCTGCGAACCAAACAACCCCTTACATTTATATTAAGGTAAAAAACTGACATGCTTATAAAGGTGAAAACTACATCCTTCTGTTATAGAACCACCAACCATGTCATGTTGAAGGGCAGAAGGATGGGAACAGCAAGAGTTCATAATGAATCATGGACAATAGAGAAAAACATTACCAGATGCCGTAAATGATCTTTAACCATGTCATTGTTTGTAAATTCTATAGTTTTTAGTTGATATGACTCCATTCTCTCCACCATTGCTTGGAGTTCAAACTTTGTATGAAGACCAACGCTGTAACAATAAGAAAAGAAAAAAAAAATCAATTCGCGACTTTGTTATTTGTTGTTCTCCAGTCTATGTATATATTTGGTACCAGTAGCATGACAAAACCTAGACACAAGGAACGACAAACTACAGCCACAATAAGCTAGCTCATTTTTTTAGCTCATTGGAAAACTGCTTGGTTATAATAAGCTAGCTTTTTGAAAAACTACTTCGTCACGTTTCAATAAGCTCCAAGGGCTTTCTCTTCCATTTTATTTTCCAATTATGCACCTTACTATTTTTCATTTAGTATTTCACCATGCCCTTTTAGGTCATTTTACATTGTCAGCTAGCTTATCAGATACTGTTTTTTTTTTTTTTACCGAATATGACTAGTTTATCAGCTAGTTTTCCAAATATAGCCTAAAAAGTTGGCTGGTGACACAATCTCACGAGCGCATCTCATCCAGAGTTGAACATTTCAGATGAAGCATATTCAAAATTTGCTGAAAATGATAGAAGGTTCTTGCCTGTACAGGACTAGAGCTTGTTTTTCTTGAGAGTCATATCTATACTTGAACTCGGTGATATTCATTGACCCAATCTGCCAACAAAAATTATTGTTAATCATGCTGTTAAGGAAACTGTAAACAAGGGATGGTCAGAGATGGTTAACCTGTCCTTTCTATAGAATGTGTGCTTGCAGGTTTCTCAGAAATTCATTCAGTATTTCATCTTTTTCTTGATACGGTCTATTTCAGTATTCATTCGTCTTACTTCCAGAGTGTTCCTATCAGTGACTTTTACCTATATTCACCTTGAGATTACAAAACTAGTAATACGAGTAATTCCTAATTACTGGAACTCTTTTTTCTCATGAAGTAGCATAGTCAGCTGCTGCTCTATCACTTCCGAAAGCTTCGAGCTCAAATGCACCACTAAGATAATTTCTTTCTTATTCTTTTCCTATTTATTCATGTGGAAAGGTGATGTCTAACCACATAGATACAAAGTACTATCATAAGAGTAGAATGTCTTTCCTTTTATCGACATACAAGTGTTGAACAATAAAACTTATGTCTACGTACTGAAGTTCAAACCTTCCAATTCCAAAAATGCAAGTGTTAATGAGGCCTGTTACCAACAAAAGCAACAGCATTGACACCGGGATATGACTTCCACGGTTCAAACTAGTACACAGTTTTCTTCTTCTTAACTCCATTCCATATTAGTGCATCAAGCCAAGTCAATAGAGAGATCATTTACTTTCACACAAGTAATGCAAGGAAGTGTTACGAACGTCATTTTATCTGAAACAACTGTTCAGCAATTTGCATATCAATTCATAAACCAACTTTAGCAATGGAAACCTTGCTTGAATACAAAATTAAGCATAAGAACATGTTTCCATGTTTTGTTATCAACTGAGATTCTTAATATTTTGTAAAGAGAATAAGGTTGATTGTTGGAAGATATATTATAATATTAGTTTGACCATTAATATACAAAATTTAACTACGATGACAATACCATATATAACTTGTGGCATGTACTTGTGCGAGTACTCACCAGTTCACAAAACTGCTTAAAGCTTCCAGGTTCCTCTGGCATGAAAGTTGCAAGCACAGCCTCTCGCTGCCTACCGACATTTGCAAGCTCTGTTACCAATCTCAATCTATCAAAGTTCATGTTGGCTCCACTAGTTATTGCTACAACATTTACATCCTTAAGGTTATAGAACTTGCAGTATGCTTCAGCCCCAGCAAGCGAAAGGGCACCTGCTGGTTCCAGAATGCTCCTTTTCTCCTCAAACATGTCCTGCAACACAAACACATGTATTATTGATCAAAAGAATCTAAACCCATGCAAACAAGAAAAAGATCAATTTGCATTTACACTTTACAATGATCGATGCATAAAATACTCGATGGGTCCCATTATTCAGATTCAAGTATCCATCTTTGGGACAACTAACCTTGGACTCTACCTAAATCCTCAAACAATGGATGATGCTCCCTGGTACGATGTTCAGCTCTTAACCGTCTTTCTTTTGTTTGAGTGAGATTTCACAACTAGATTTAGCCTTTTGATATGAGATCTTCTTATCAAGTTCTGTATCTTGTTGCTTATTGCCTATAAATACATTGTCCTCCTTTTGCCCCCAAAGAAGTACCCATCACAACACTATGTAACTATTCTGAATTTAATTTCAGAAGACCATTTAATGTGGGATGGAGAGGCATCCTGTAGCGTCCTAGTTATATGAAGTTCCTATTTCACCAATGATATGTCTGTTTTTATATTTCTTCATGTGCTGATCAATTTATTCAGGACATCCATAAGACCCTAATAGTTGAAATCAGGGAGGATTGGAAGAATCCATACTAGTAAACGACGAAAGAATATAACATAGATTCCTGAACTGTGGTTTAAAAACTCCTAATAAATGAATCACAGATTCCATGCTTTGTTCATCTAATTCCTACAGGAAAATGTTGGCATGATGATCTTTAAATGCCAGAAAATGACATAAAGTTCATTCACCATAGGTCATCTCTAAATCAATTTATTGGTTCAAAAGCTCCATTACCTATGCAAACACGTACAAACATAGAAAAACAAAGAAAGAAGATTGTATCCACACAGCAAGGGAAGAGACTCACTTTTATGGATGCACAGATAGCATCACGGCTGACAAGAACTACTCCATCTATCAATTCCCTACATAAACGGAAAGTTTCCGAACCAACCTCCTTAACAGCAACACCATCTGCAAAGCCTCCCACTTGATCAAGCATTACTCTTTGACCATGATGCAATGACAAAGCCATTGCATTAGCATCAGCAGGCTCCACACCGATGATCCGTACCTGCGTAAGTGATTTCAGTAAGTGAGAGTCTCTTCGTGGATGGAATATATGCAAACTTGAAGGGTAAAAAACTACAATTTAAGGAAAATAAATTTATACAAAATTTGTAAGATGTGATGATGAATTTCTTCAGAGAAGCAATTGTCACAATTATATCAAAAACTTTCAAAACCATCTTTAAGGTCAGAGAAACCAGAATAGAAAGGTATGCCATTAGATTTAAACCAATAATGGCAGTCAGTCAGTCAAGTATCGACAATTAAGTCTGAAGTATTACTTATCATGACATTAAGAACTACATAAGATCCCAAGTCTATTAAGAATTTACCCAGTGAAAATAAACATATTTAATGAGTAACAGACTTTTATCTATGATCATAGAAGAATGCATGTGTAAGAAAAAAACAATATACAACTAAAAAAATTTGTTATTGCATATATATTATTCAAGAAAAAATAAAACGTATTTTACAGGAAAGCACATTCACCTCTGGTGAAACCCTCTTCACATAAGCAGCAATGCCAGCTATCAAGCCGCCACCCCCCACAGGCACAAATATGGCATGGAGTGGACCTTGCATTTGGCGCACGATTTCCGTTCCAACAGTTCCCTGGCCCATTATGATATCTGGGTGATCAAAAGGAGGAATGAAGGTTCGTTTCTCCATTTCACCTCTTCTTTTGGCATATGATTGCGCTTCATCATAGGAATCACCTTCAAGGACAACTGTTGCACCTAACCTCTTAACTGACTCCCACTAAATGCATCATTGGACAATGAGATAATCACAAGGTCAGGTATGAAGCAGAAAAAATATCTGAAGGCTGTAGAAACAAGTCAACAACATATATGCATGCATCGTCAAGCAAACATAAGTAGCACAAAACAAAATCAAAACCTTGATCTGGGGTGTGGTAACTGGCATGACAATCACTGCATCGCAGCCCAGTGTCTTGGCTGCTAATGCAACCCCTTGAGCATGATTGCCAGCAGACGAGCAGATAACACCTTGTGCCAGTTGTTCCTTCGGGAGTTTTGCCATCATATTATATGCTCCACGAAGCTTGAACGAGAAAACCTGCAACCCAAATTACCATCCAGTATTACTTTTAATCTCTTAATATAAACAACATAGAATTTAAGAGGAAAAGCAAGGTCATCAAATTAACAAATTTCCAAATACTATCATGCGGATCAATGAAAACGTTTCGATCAAAATTTTACAACTCCATTAACAAGTTTGAGTACTAGAAATATGAACATCTTAGTGTTACATTTATACGAGTTCCATATTCAAGGTCCAGAGTTCGGTTTTTGCTCAAAACAGATTACTCAGTCAGTCTTAGACAGAGTCACTTCTGAGAATCAAAGCCAGCGATTCTCAGTTTCAATTTTTATCTTGTTTGCAAATGATCGGCATGACTATTTGAATCAAAATAAGTGCAAAAGCGTGTTTAGATGTGTGCTTACAGGCTGAAGATCTTCTCTTTTAAGCCACATATTCACACCCAACCTCTCCGAAAGCTTGGACGCGAGAGACAACGGCGATTCAATTGCTACGTCATAAACTCGATTCGACGACAATATATTCGTCAAATACTCCATCTCACTCAAAATACCATGGCCTTCCTCCACCTTATGGTCCGGCACAGCGCCCAACTGGCCTGATTCATACTGCAATGAAGACGGAGACACTCGAAGCACTGCTGGTAGTTGTTCTCGGTTCCGCAACACCGCAGCCATTGCGTTGGCCTCCGTCGCGGACAGCAAGTCCATCTCCGCCTTTGATTTGGACATGGTGGCGGAAACGGAAGGTTTCCTCCTCCTCGTCGTGTTGACATTGTGTAATATGACGCCATTGTTAGGGATTTTGACGCAAGGAGTGAAACACAGGGCCTCCATTTCAGCTCTGAACGATGGTGGAACGCGGAGGATGTTGACGGTGGAAAGGACGTCGGAGGCTGGATTTGAGAAAGACTAATGGCTTTCGACAGGGCTGAAAAGGATTTGAGGGTTCTCGGAGTTTTGTTCCAGGTACAGGTAGGTGATGTTGTGGACGAATGAGATAGCTCCACGTCACTGTTGACCGGGTAGGCAGTCAGATTGCTCATTGTGCACCCACCACATTAAGAAACAAAACTAGCCGCCGAACATACGCACTATGCTTGTGGCACATGTTTTGGTAAGGACTTGTGTAGGTAACTAGGGATGGCTGTTTGACCCGTTTTCCGGTGGGTATTCGGTTCATCCGACTCAGTTAACGACGATGCTTTCATATACGTCTCGGGTCGGGTTGGATACATGGATACACTAACTTAACCCTCTCGGAGATGGGAACATGGACAATACACGATTTATAGTGTATATAATATTAGGGATGTTTATGGGTGAACGGAGACATTTGAACAATTGAACCTAATATTTATGGTTTGAAATAATTTAATCCAAACTAAAGTGTAACCCAACTCAAACCGTATGGTTTTGTCGGATTGATACTTTGGTATATTGAAATATTCTTCTAACCTTGAACATGTTGTTTTCTCTACTTATAATCATTTTTCATCATTAACCATTTGGTACAATTTATACATACTTCTTAAATTTTAAATATGTCATATTCAATTATTTTTTTCAATTTACATATATCTATATTCAAATTTTAAGAATATATATATAAAAGAAGTAGTTATATAGAGGTCGAGATGAGATCGAAAAAATATGAATATGAAGAGGGTATGTGATGGTTAAATTGTCTAATATACACATGAAGATGATTCATGACAGTGTAATTTTTTTATGTACATATTAATAGGGATACAACAATCATATTAAATTATCGGGTTGAGTTAGATTCAAATAACCGTAACTCAATGTTAATCCAATACCTACAGTTTAAATATTTTACAACTCGATAAATATCGGGTTGCTTCTAGTTGGATTATTTCACATTGGATTGGGTTTGGATTAATCGGGATGATCGGGTTTTTAAGCACCCCTATATACAATATTCTTGATCAATCTGTGTTATATTTCATACTTTTTATTTTGCTATCAAATATAACCACTGATCTTTTATTGTTTTGTATCGTTCATTAATTATGCACCACCATAGATATGCTTTTCAGGTAAGAAGTAAGAAAATGAAGTATTTTGGGGAGCATACTTGTGGAAAACTGATTAAGTTCGCAATGGAAGCTTTTGTAAAAGAAGTATTTGAAATAAATTTGGTTATGATGTTGAACTCATTTTATTTTGTTTGAAAAAGTAAAAGGTGTTATTTATTAATTGTTGCTGTGATTCGCTTGCCTGTTACATCTCGTGTTTCCGTTTTAGCGGGGTGTGACATAATGGGAGGAAATATTCCCAGTAACCGTGGAAGGCTTAGTGCGCCGAGGGGAAGCCAGAGTGGAACCAGGGGTAGATCGTTCCAAATGACAAAGAACGAGGCAGAAGCAACCCCAGATATAGTAACAGGTACATTCCTTCTGAATTCAATACGTCCTAAGGTGTTATTTGACTCTGGTGCAAACTTTTCGTTTGTATCACCATTGTTTGCTCAAATTGCATGTTTGAATTCTGTGTTATTTGATGAAAAATTAGTAGTTGATACTGCTAATAGTCAGGAAACTGTTACTAAAGTATTCAATAACTGCATTATTGTTTTTGAGGGTTGTGAGCTTCCGATCTGGTTATTTCCCATGCCGATGAAGGAATTTGATATAGTGGTAGGTATGAACTGGTTGGCAAGGTATCAGGCTAGTATTAATTTTGATCAGAAAATAATTATAATTATTCTACCAGACCACAACTTATTAACGTAAAGTACTGTTTATTAATGCATATTAYTTAAAACTCAAGATTATAAGTAGATTGTGAGTGAGTACAACTTATTAACACTCCATATCTGAATTCGTGTAACTAATTGCAGATAAACATAATCAAATACAGGATAAATATTATTTTATTATTAAACTTAAATGAAATTATAATAAAAAATAAATTAAAGAAATTACATAAAAAATGAGAACTTTTAAATAGTTGATTTGATATTAACATTAATATATTCTTTTAAATTTTTTTATGATATATTCAAATTTAAATTTTATTAAAAAATAAAATCATTATTGCTTTCTTAAAAACACATAAAATCGTATTAATAACATCGACAGAGACAAATAATAAAATAGAACATTAAAATCGAGATGTGTCTCGCTACATTGCGCGAGCACTCTTCTATAAGTTCTAAATTGGTTTAATTTACATAAAATATGATTAAAAATTTGAAAATAAAAAATAAGTGTATGGCCTTGGTGAGGAAGTTTGTTTACCTTTCACTTTCCCCAATCTTTTCGAGATACGATCTTTTTATTTAATCGTCAATCATTTCGACAGAGTTTAAATGAATTATTTGAAACATTTATAAACCATTTGAAACTAAACTCGAGCATTATTATAAGGAAAATCATTGGGGTCTCGAGCCAAATATTAGCTTCTTGAGCTAATCACAATATTAAGAGCAAGCTTCAATTTCAAACCTGCTTCAAAATGATTGCAAACAACTACACCATGTCTTCGTGTCGTGGATCATTCCGAATTATCGATCATCTGTCGTCTCATGAAACGAAATATATACAACTTTATTGGGTTACATCTATTTGACTTAACGTATTTTGAGTGATTATGAGACCTTATCTCTATCCCTTGTTTTCATGAAGATCCCGACTTGCACAACACAAATTTAATTAACAAACTACAAGAATCAACGAATACGGTAAACAAAACAAAACAAAACAAGCATAGGTTAATCATGTGCATGTCCAGTAAATCTCGATATATAGGCTTCGACTTCGTTAACTACAATGCATGAAGGCGATTCAGAAATCTGCCAACATTTAACGATCAAAATTTCAAATAACGTTATGATCAAAATGTAGTTCGAATACCATAAGTTCATCTACGAGTGTGGCTTAGGTGCCAATGTTTACAGCAACAATTCAAGCCAAGATCAAATTTTGATGTGTTTAATGTATACCAACACAAATAGATAGATTTCACCAAGCTAGGCCATTGAGATGGTGGCCAAGAATCGTATTAATTAGTTGACTGCGACTTGGGCAGATAACAAGTTCGGGTGAAGGCTTTCTTGCTGCTGGCTTGATACTTTCGTCTTATTAGATAACTCCAGCACCTGCACAGCTTCTTCAACTTTCGATGCTAAAGCTTCCGGTGATTCCAACAACAATAGCACCTCCAAGTTATCCATCTCCAACAGCATTCCCGTTATCTTAGCAGCAAGATCAGGCTGCATTCATCACATCAATCGTCTTTATGATTGTACTCCAGACATTTATATATATAACTCACATAATCTGCATACTTGGTCCAGAAAACTAGCACACCAACGGGTTCTGATTCAGCTATTAAAATTGAATTCAGTAAGGGGCTGTTTGGCAGTTGCTGAATGGTTTGGTGCAGAATGGCTAAGTGGTCAGAATGGTTAAGAGGGTCAGAATGGTTAAGTCCTGAATGAAATATTGTTGTTTGGTAAATGTTAACAAATTACCCTTTTAACCCTGTATGCTTTGGTCCTGTTTTTTTATTGAACTAACAGATACCAAAAAAGAAATTAGGGTTTCACTTCAACCCAAATCGAGATCAAATCCAAATCGAGATCAAATCCAAAAAGAAATTAGGGTTTCACTTCAACCCAAA